GGACGGGACAGGGGACAGTAACATGCTTGCTGACCAGAGCTAGTCTGAAGCATGGATTTTCCCCAGCTGGGAAAGGTGAGCCTTTGTCCTTTCAATACAGAAGATGATAAAAAGCTGAGCAGCAGAGTGAGTTTAGTGGAAGGTGCTGCCTAAAATTTTACATTTTCCAAACCAGAGTGGACTGGCTGCTGTCACCTCTGCGGACTATTGCTCAGGAACTCCTCTGTGGAAGCCAAAGTGAAAGCATGCCCTAACACAGCCTCCAAGGTCTTCCCAATGGGGAGCCTGGAAGCCTTTGGCTGAGACAGCCTGAGCAGCTACAGGAAGGTCCTCCCAACCTGGGACACTAGCTCCAGAAGCTTTAGGCATCTGTACAGGAAATAGCTGTGTGTGAAGGATCCTGGACACAGGGGAAAAAAAACCAAACACACACACACACACAAAAAAAAGGGAGAACAAATACCAGACAGATGGAGAGCAAGCATGGGAAGAAGCTTGCTAAGAAAGCTCTCCTTCTCTATGTGACACCAAGAATGGAAGGGGATCCCAATGGAAACCAAGCAGAGGGGGAAGGAAGGAAGAAAGAAATATCTGAATGCACATTTTGTAGAGACACCAGAGACAGGGGAAACAAGGGCTTGTTGTTTCATGATCATTGTAGCCAAAAAAAAAAAAAAAATCTAACCAAGGTTTACTTCATTCAGCATCAGCCTGCTAACTGATGGGCCTCTGTACAGCACAAAAAATAGCTCCAAGTTCTTCTCAAGAGAGTCTTGACAAGTCAGACTTGGCCCATCCAGGGACACTGGAGAAATAGATGTAACTTTGGAACAAGTTTTTGAGTTATCAGCACTGATCTGAACTGGATTTTCAAAATAAGCACTGCAGCCAGCAGGCTAAACTCACTGGAAAGTCTGTGTGCTAAACTCTAAAGTGCTGTTCACAGCTGCTGACAGCCTGGTCCTAGGACACAGAAAAGCCATCAGCAAAAGGCTACTGCTGGGGCAGTATGACATTTAGCCAAAAAGTCTGCTTTTTCCATGAGTTAAGCCAATGCCGGAAAGTTTAAAGGGTCCTTATCACCTTCATCTCTGCTTCATGTGTGAAAACGAGTTATGACCTTCCACCTGCCCACAGCACAGGCAGACTCCCTCTTTCTTTGGTTTTACAATAGTGTTTTCCTACTTTTTGTACTTGTTTTTCTCTCCTCTGTTGTGGGAAAGACCCACGTGGACAAGAGGGGAAATTACTGGACAATAAAGGGGAAACAATGACACTGACAGCACTCAGAGCTGTAAAAAGCACAAAGTAAACACAAGAGAAAAATATTTTTTCCCTTCTACCCTTGTTTGTTAAGCCATTAGAGGTGTGACTTATTTTTGGCCAAAGAGGGGAGAAGGCAATGTTTACAGCTGGTAACAACACTTGCTTTTTCAGTTTGTCTCCCTTTCAAAAGGCATAACCTGAAACAAACAAGCACGTGTGTATTTTGAAAGCCTGTACAGGGGAAACAGAAGTTCACATCCACCTCGCTGTACTCCTCTCCCATCACAGCTCTGGTGTGGTTCTAACCTAAGGGTACGCTAGGAGGATGATAAAGCAAGCTTGCAGTTTAGCATGAGCCGGCTTGTTCAGCACTGCTAAATCAGGCTCAACACCTTAAAAATGCATACGTGCTTCTGTAGCATCCCTGTTGTCCATAGAAAATCAGAAGTTCAGAGAGGAATCAGGATCACAAGCCTGACAGTCTTGAGCAGCAACAGCACTGAGACTCTCTATTGCAGTCCTAAATACGGCGGAACTGAGAGTGAATCATGTGTGACGAGCAGACGGTTGAGGGCTTTTGCGTGCTGGCCTTCACTAACCTAACAGGGAGCTGAATTAACTTCTGGTACTCTAAGAACCCATACAAGCCTCTTGGACACCCAAAAGAGTCATCAGATCTTAGTGAGAACCCCTCTTGCTCCCCACTCAACTCTTCCTGCTTCAGCACAGTATCATTTTCATTTCCCACGTGCATAACCCGTACAGGGAATACTTTCATGCCACAGGACTTTTCAAGCTCCAGGCACTTCTCATAACTAACTACTGATGTGAATCTCGCTTCCATTCTTCCCAGTTCTATCTTAGGTACTTGTAAGTGTCTAGTTTCTAATTAGGCCACAGGTTGGTTGAGGCACTTGCCACTTTCATTAATTCAGATGCAAATAGCAGTTTAATGGAGACAGATTACCTCAAAGCCAAAGCCCCCACCACATTAAAGCAGGTTACCCACAAGCTCTAGCTAAGAAGTTCAACCCGTAGTTAGAGGAGCCCCTCTGGGGGCCACCAGCTGTAATGGCACGTCACCACGGAGCTGCACACTTCAGGGGTTTGATTAGAGAAGTAGAGGAACCTCATCAAGCAAGCTCGGGATTACCAGCCAACACCAATCCTTAAAATGATAAAACTACTCGGGGAACAAGCAGAAAGACTTCCTGGGGTGAGGGATACATGGTGAAAGCTCAGTTTATGGCTTTTCCCTTGTTGCATTACTGTTTTGCACACAGTAAAGAATAAATTTTTATCCATTCCTTAGACCTGCAAGGAAATCCAACCGTGACCACAGTGCATATAGAGCACGGTATTCCAAGCCGCACACTAATGTGCCTGATGTGGGAAGCAGGTGCGTGTCCTGGTCCCCACAGTTATTTTACTGCACAACACCACTTGAGAGAGGGTGATCCTAATAGATGGAATGGAAGGGCAACGTGAAGCCTTTAGGAAACAGAAGCTGATAGAGAAGACAAACAGATGGAAAAACAGAACTAGATGCCTAAATGCTGTGGAATAACGCAAGAACAACCGTGGTTGAAAGGAAGAACACTTTGTTCCCCTGTATGAATGCTTGCTTACTTAATTGCCTTCTTGATCTGCTCGAGTTCTGCTTTCGATCATGATGCACGATGAATTGAGCACATATATCCATCCAATCCACCACAAGCCTAATAATCTCCACAACCCATCTCTCCTCTCCCAGCTTGCAGTTACGAGATTCCTTCCAGCACATGAATCATGTTTGGAAATCAGAAAATAACAGAGCATCATACAGGCAATAACAAAGCAGTAGCTGTTTGCTTGCATTAATCAAAGCTGCTCTCTCCACATATACAAAGCTTGTTTTCTCTGGAGAACAAAGAAGTCACAGCACACTAGGAGGAAACAATAGAGTAAGGAAAAACAACAACAGCTGGCAGAAGCAAAGTGTTTTCTTTCCTGTTGGAAGAGTAAAGCCTCCTGTTTTCATTTCTGAGTTATTTTTTTTTACCTTCCCCCTCAAACAGCAATAAAGTGGGACTCAGCTTACCCTAAGTCCTGAAGAGACGAGGAGAAGCAACATATCTTGAGGAGAAAAAGCTACCTGGAATAAGGGGGAAGGGGAAGCTCTGTGCTCCTACCCTACCCCATCCCACTATCGTTTCACCGTATCAGTCTCCAAAAGTGCAGCAAGTCATAGCCTTGCAGAGAAACTGGCAGCTCTAGCACAGAAATAAGTCTCTGAAGGTGCTGACGCAACTCAACCAGAGGCTCTCTGAAGAGCTTCCTGGGTTCCCTCTTGCTAGGAACAAGTTTGCAGCACTCTAACGCACTGACAGAAAACACCAGCCTCTTTACAAGTGAGGAGCAATGTGAAGAAAAACAGAAGCTGCCAACTTGAAGATATTACATTCCCATCAAAAAAACTCTGTCAGTCTGTCTACCTTCACCAGTCCAGGACTGACCCAATTGTAGGAATCTTAATTCTTAAAAAAACCACTAATTATTTTTGCATGAATGCAGCTAGTCACCAGCTAATGCTCATGACAAAGTATTGTTACTCTCCCAGAAGGCAAATATTTTCTCTGGAGCATCCCGCTGTAAGAAACCATCAATACCTTTGTGAAGCAGCAACATTCATTTTTAGATGATCATGATTTGAACTGTATTATGCTGAGATAACAGTGACCCCCAAAGACCTGGCTTCAATATGGAAAGTTTTTCCCTCGTCAGGCTTGTTAATTTTTTTCAAAACATTAAAGAAATAGAAGAGACATTAAGTCAGCTTCCCAAGTGCCTTTCAGACCTTCACTTCCAACCTGTGAATCACTAGCAGCACCTAGTGGTCACAATAAATTAAACAGCAGATTTTCAGGTTGACCATGGAATGAAATATAGGAAAATCAGTTCTAAACAATGTTTACCGACTTATTTACATGATTAGCTTGAAATACAGCAACACCAGCATTACACAGATTCTCTAAAATGCTTGTGTTATTTCTGTAATCCAAGAAACTCCTCCTGCCTGCATCAACCTCAGTTCAGCCCCAAGGGCGCTTCAGGTAGCCAGAGACTGCCACCAGCATAGCCTCTGCTACAGTGATCGGAGCGCAGCAGCAGGAACCTACATGTTCCATAAGGCTAGAGAGCATCAAAAGAGTTCCCAGAAGCAGTACACCACGTTCACATGGCGTGCAGGAGCACAGCCTGGGAGACAGGCACTCACAAAGCTTAAGAATACCTTTACACAGTGACCTCCACAAGAGAGACTACGTGCTGCTACACTAGTTCAGCGGGAAGAATGGAACAAAACTCCAAGCAATTGAAGATCAATTCCTCTTGTCTCCTCCTGTTCTGACAGCTTCTCAGGGGGCAGAATGCACAGTACAGCTGGGACAACTAGAATATCTAAAATAGATTAAAATGTAAAATAGATAAAGCAGGCAGAAATCCCCAGGAATTCCCAGCTACTGTAGCAACTGCTTTTTACTACCAAGGAAAAGAAACTAAAGCAAAGGGAACATACAGATACTTTTATTGCTCACCTTTTATACAACAGCACACCTTCAGCCATTTTCTTTCACAGCTTGACAATGTTTATGTACACAAAAAACCCAGCAAGAAGCATTATGTGGCTTTCAGTAAAGAAAAAAACCCAAACATTAGAACATCAAACTCAGCCAGGCTTTGTTTTCTGCAGCAATAACAAAAGGGCTTCCTCCAGGCAGGAACTAATCTTCCCAGGCCGTAGTGCATTTCTTTAAAAAGACAACCCCCAAAACAAATTGCCCTAGATCTGCTGAGCCAGTGGTATTAACTTGCAAATAAAATAAATTTCAGTTTTGCATTTCTTCTAGCTGATTTCAAGTAAAAATTAGGTTTGGAGGAGGAGCAACTTGTTTTGGATGGATGCAGGTCAGTTTGAATTGCTACACCTAACTACAGGCCTACACACACTATTGGTTCACAATTCAGCTTAGTTTTAAATGATCTTTGCAGATTTTGGCGGCGGTCAGTCTTCAGAGTTGAGCAGGTGGGAAAGTTTTGTTTTGCAGGAGATAAGGCTACCAAACATGGCATCCACAGTAGAGTTCATATAACAGACAACAAACCTGTTTGTCAGAGGGAGTTCACTATGCGCGCACGCATGTGTAACATCATCATGACTAAAATGAGAGGCCATCAAGCCAAAAAGCAATACTCAGAACTTATTTTAGAACGTGTAATTGAACAATCATTAGGGGGAAAAAAATGCAGAAGGTCTATTGTGTATTATAATAGACAAATTCAACCAGGCAGGTCTTGATATTTCTCTAAATCAAAGCAGAAGGCAAACGCAGCAGGTAGTTTCAGAACAAAAGTGTTTTGAGCAGAGGGAACCAGTCCAACATCTAAAAAGCATGGCCATTAGTCGATGTTTAGGGTGCAGTGGGAAGTGACAATGCATTTAATTCTGACAAGTTAGGGGGTGGGGGGCAGGAGAGGTCTACAGAAAGTTGTACTTTGCTCGATGCAGAACATCCAACCCAAAGAGATTCTACCTGCCACGTACAAACCTGTACTAATTCAAGCAGCGATTAAGCCAGGCCTCTGAAATCAGGTTTCTATTAAGTGAGCTCTGCTGAAGCAAAAGTTTTTAGCAGCCTCAGCTTGTGAAGTGTCTTCCTTGTCCAAAGCCAGATTGATTATACTGATAACCTCCATGCTGGAAGTGCTGCTCAAACTGCCCCCCTTGATTAAAATTCTGTCCACCTCTGCCCCCCCAGCCTCCTCCTTGACCTCCACGGCCACCGCGACCACTTCCTGAATATGAAGACGACTGGTAGCCACCATAGCCTCCTCCTTGGTAGCCACCACCGCCACCACCACCACTGTGGTAGCCACCCGTTTGAAAACCTGCATCTCTGTAGTTGCTCTCCCTGTAGCTGCTATCCTGGTAGCCACCACCTCCACCATCAGTCCAACCTCCTTGAAGCTTGTTTCCTCTTCCGCCTCCTCTGCCACCATGATCGTAACCACCACGTCCTCCTCGTCCCCCTCGATCATGGCTTCCTTGTTCATGACCTCCTCGCCCTCCATATGATGAGTCATAGCCCCCTCTTCCTCCTCGGTCGTGACCCCCATGGTCATAGCCTCCTCGCCCACCATATGAGGACTCATAGCCACCTCTTCCTCCTCTGCCGCCGCCTTGTTGCGGACCAGCCTCTGGTCTTTTCTGCCACGGTGGCATCTCAGGAGGTGGTGGTTCAATTTCATTGGGCCTTCCTCCTCTGTCAGGCACTCTGCCCATTAGCACCTGCAAAGGGAAAGGGAGAACTGCCGCAGGAGTTGTAACACCTCACGGAAGAGTCACACTTACTGATACACACCACAAACAGCAGCCACTCAAGGGTTCTTACATCTAGAGGATTTCATCATGCAAACTTTTGCATGTTTGAATGTGACAGACCTTTGCCTCCAATTAATAAAAATTAAACAGCGATTATCTAGTACTCCAAGCACTGCTACAGAATTAGAATATTACCCGAAATACAATTGATACCCAAAATGGAGAAAAGCATGTGTGTACACCCACAAATTTTAAAGTACCAGGTATAGTGCTGTACCTAGCTACTGAGCTTCAAGTTCAGCACATGTACTTTTGTGAGCCTATTACTGCTGTAAGATCATAATTTTTGACACGAGGGAAATTTCTTAGTCTAAATCGTATTCCTACTATGTCATTGCTAAAACTACACACTTGACTATAATCTAACTTGTGAGATCCTTGCTTTGTGATCTTAATACATTCTATCTACATAGACCAGAAACACAGTTTCTATGTAGGTGTTCTTTTAGACACAGTGACAGAACGAGGTAGCAGCAGTATAACGACATCAGTAATACTGATAAGGCAGAGCAGGCCTCCTCCCACTGAAAGTAATCAAAGATATTTCAGCAATTTTCTACTGCCCCTAAGAAGCAGGACTATGAACCTAAACAGGTGAAAATGCAGTACCCATAATGCACCGATGCATAATCTGGAATACATAAACACCAAATTTCTTTTCCATTATTTCCAAATCCCACTTACTATTCTAAAAAAAAGTAGGATTTATGCCACATTCGAATTACTTAAATACTCATAACAGAACAAGCCATTTGTCACCAAAGGTACCTTATTAATGGCACATGCAGTCTTCTCTCGGATAGACCCACTGCTTGTTCTCATAATCTTTGACAGATCCTGACGAGCTGCCAAGAGATTTGCAACGGAAATAGTGCACTTAGTAGATAAGAGGGCACGTTTTGGCTGGTAGACTTTAGCCAGTTTTTCTGTTTGACTCTGTTGGAAAGAAGAAAAGCAAAACCCAGTCAGCTAAAGTAATAGGAAAGCAATGGGACACCTCACCAAAAGAATCAAATCAACACCGAAGAACAAGACACTACTGTAAATAGAACAAAAATTAATATAAAAAGTGAGAACCACTTTGTAACTAAGAATCACTGCAACAAAGCTAGCATTCGTCAAATTAATTTCTTAAGTAATACAGGAAACACTATTCTGACCAAACTGACAAGACACTGATCTTCTGACAATTTTAAGATTAACAATATATACATGCAGGCTGTATTACTTCCGGGCGGTCAAACACAGAATAGAAGTGTGTCATATAGTTATACAAATTACTGCCAACATCTAAAAGATACTGAAAGTGAAACATGTCCATGTCCAGCCTCCAGAGCTCCTTCTGTGCCTGCACCCTGATCCACACCCATTCCAGTCAGCCTAGCATTATTATATTTCCAACACTGTTATCAGCAGAAAAAGGCCGTCTTAACTCTTTCACACTCTTCATTCCAGTCAGCTTCTTCACAAAAGCAAGCCATCAAGAGGTACTGGCAGAACTAAAGCTCTCAAGTGCTTGTTCTAATGCAGTCCTCTCACATACGTAGTGCCTAAGCTAGAAATCAGATCCTACACATCAACTTTGCCTTGTATGCTATCTCTCTTCCTCTACTGCCTTTTGGCATTAACCACACTGGCTTTTTTGAACACCTCAAAAGTATGACAGCAGTTTTCCAACTGACAGACACAACTGAAATCTGTGCTGCCTGCCATGAGTTAATACATGAGGTACATCTAGCTTCAGTTACCAACAGAGTATAACGTGTGATGCAGTTAGGATAAACCAGATTGCAATCTGCACACAGACAAAAGGGCTGCTTTTTGTCTGGACCCCACATGACAGCAATGGGGACAGGCAAACCAGGTTTTCCAACAAATCTCTTGACAGGGCAAGGACTTAGGAGCAAATTTTAAAATCTTAAAATGCTATTTTCCATCTAAAGGCAGACAACTGGAACTGGGAAGAATTGAGAGTATATATTTCCAAGTGACTCAATGATAAGTTTTCAGAACCAAAAGCTTCTACTTCTATATTACAAGTTGAACAGGGTTTATTCAAAATGAAGGAAAACATGCACATAATTTACCTGACACTGGCTAAAGACAGGAAAAGCAACAGTATTCACCAGAGCAGTAGCATGTTTTTCCCTGGCAAGTTTGACTGAGCTCTGAGCACAGTATTTTGGTGCTATGATATCATTCTTTTAGGTGAAACTTGAAATTTTTGAACTTTAAAAAAATCTTAACAATAGTTTTATAAAACAGTAAGTTTTTACTGGTGTTTCTGCTATCTGGAAAAGTAACTATGTAGTTATACTACTGTATTCTGATACTTCTTGAATTTTAAAATAAAAAAAACATAAATCACTATCATGTATTAAAGCATTGCTAAAAGTTACTGTTCAAACAAACTGTATTGCATGTCTGGAATACTATAGCCACAATCTTGTATTGTTCTGGTCCTAAGAAATTTAGATTTGCATTTCAATAGCTATAAATGCATATATACAAACTGTGGGGTTTGGTGAAAGAATTTTATGTAGCTAGGCAAGTTCAAAAACATTTGAGAATTCTCATAGAAAAAAACCCAAACATGGATTTGGATGCCGAAGCTGTAACACAATTAGAAGTCCCTCATTTCTAACCTAATCCATACTTTTGCTCATTTTCATTCGCTATTAAAATATTCAAACAATCAGATAGTTCTTCAATCAGCTACTAAAAAACCTGGAGAATACAAGGTGTAAGAGATAGGACACCAGGAGAAGTCCTGCCTCCCCAGAAAAGGGGAAAGGTCACAGTTTGTTATTAAAATACAGCCGCTTTTTGAATAAATCATTTTATCAAGAAAAAAACTTGATGACTCGTATCACAGTTTATCACTAATAACTCAGTCTCAAACGCTGCCAGCAGCATAATTAACAGCATGTTAGCAGATCTGGTTTGCTCCTAGAAAATAAGTGATATGCACTATTTTTTAAATCTTGCCATTCCTTTTTCACTACAAAAGATAGGTGAACAGGGAAACCATGTAATTATTTTTAAATTACAGCAGAATATATGTATCACATACTCAGAGAGAACAGACGTCATGTCACAGCCACTTGCACGGTTCAAAGACAAAAGAAGCACATAAAATATTACCCTGTCTATGAGGTAAGAACAAGTAGTGCCTTAGCAGCTTTTCTCATGTGCATCTGTGGAGTTGTGCTTGCAGACACACTTTGAGTTAAGGAAATCTGATCACTGTGGACAGCACAAAGTAAGTTAAGGGATGGTCAACAGGAAGATGCTTTTCTACCATCACACAGACACAGCACTTAATGATTCACATTATGGCACTCTGAACGCAAATGGTTGGATCAGTAATCTCCTCTTACTATTTTTTTCTAGTCACCTATTTAACTGTATGTTTTGACTTTGGTGTATCATTATACATGGCCTATCTTCTCATTTTACATGCTATTTTAAAATCCAACAGAGCAGTTTTAAGTAAGACGTTTTTAGCCATCTTACACTGTCATAAACTTCTTCAGAAACTCAAACCAAACCAACTCCTGTGGTTATTTCTTACTCACGAAGGATGAAACAATGAAGCAGTTTTCCAGAGATACTTATTAAAAAGCATTACCATCAACCAGGACTTCAAAGCAAGTTGTTTGTACCTTAGCTCTATCTGACCAGCCAAAAGACTGCACAGTAACATCCAAGCGCTTGACTAACAGTTTTCTTCGGACTTCGTATTCATTGACTATGGCTTGATTAATTGCTTCAATTTTTTCCTGAAACAAAAATTTGCAAACATAACCTATAGATCATAGATAAAACGTTTCTAGTTAATTATTAAGATAATAAACTGTATGACTTGGAAGCAAAGAAGACATGCAGAGATACTAAGCAGGACTTAAGCCCACAATTACCTACCTTGTCAAATGGGCCCACAGCAAGCTATGCCAGTCGGCACTATTTTCCTGAAGGCTTCGAGGGCTCTGTTATCCTCAGCCTTCTACCATTTCTAACAGCACAGCTGCCCGGTTTTCACAAGGCATGTAAAAATGGCACACACCGCTGAGGCATTTCTCAACACCCACCAGGACAAAGATGTAAGAGTAAGAAAATACTACATGCAACAAGTTCAAGGAGATGCAAGGACACCCATAAGTCCTAGGGACCAGGGCACCCTTGCCTTCTTAAAAAGTAGCAAGCTTAAGGACAAAGATAGAGCAAAGACAGAGGACTAAAACTAAGTAAAGTACTGTAAGAGGATCTTGATTAAAGCACAATCTGCATACAGACAAGACAACAAAGTACCCTATGGGGAAAAGCTGTCACTAGAAACACACCTGGTAGCAGACAGTGGTCTAATTCAGAGCAACAGTTGAGATATGCACCATTAAGGAAATAATACATGTATTGACTGAAGCCTGGCTGGAGGTGGGTGGTGGGGCCCACCTTCAGCCTCAACAGTACAAGCACTGAAGGAAGCAGACTGTTGGGAGTAGATGAGCTTCAAACTTAAGCAAGAAACACATGAGAGACTTGCAGCAGTAGCCATAGCTTTGTGCTGGTGCAGCAGCAGTATCTAACCCGGGTACCATCCTTCTAGAACAGCAGGTGACAAAACCCAGCTGGAGATGATTGCGGCTCTGCTGCCTGCATGTACAGTCTCTCCCAGCTTCCACCTGCACAGCTGCTGCTTCTTGGAGAAGAGGCTATGAAGGAAGCAGACTATTCCAGCAGGACAGACAGAGGAGGAAATGATGGCAGTAGCCACAGGTTAGCTGGAAAGAAGCCACAGGAGGGGATGTGACACCGTCTCAGCAAGGCTAGGTCACACAGACCGTGCTGACAAGGGGCAGGAAAGGAAGAAGGCTTAAGCTACTGCACAAGCAAGCAGGTCAGCACCACCACCGTAAATATCTTTTATTTTGGGAAACTTTTGCCTGCATCTCGACATACAGATTCACAAGCCTAAGATCTTATCAGTTGCTGAACACTTATCATACCATATATGTAAAATACTGCAAGAAATTGTCTGATTTTTCTTGTCTCTTTCTGAAGACGAGAAAAATCATCTTCCAATGTTACATGCAGAATCAAGATCAATACTTTATATACCTGAAAAAGGGAAACAGGCTCTAATACCTGCAACTACTTACCCAGTGAGCTGGTCCCAGTTGTTTCTTCAATAAAGGTTTTCCAACATGATTAGGTGGAACCTTTGCTAGGGTTTCCTTCAGCTGTTAGGAGACATACGAAAATGTAAGCATTGGCTAAAAAAAGTTAGCTTTTCAGTATTCACATTACAGGAGAGGACTCTTGGACAGTCATAGGCATGACAAAGCAACCTCCAATAGCAAGTTGTTTTTTCTGGTACAGAGAACCAAGCACACTTCTTTTGGAAAGCAACTATTTTTATATTACTAGTAGTCCCGGCTATAATTATTTAAAAATTAAGAGAAGGGACTATAGAGTAGATCTCCAGTTAAAGTAGAAAGATTCCATGAGGTACAGCTCCCCTTGAAGAGACAGGGATTATTCTACACATCATCTCTTTAACTCAGAAAAAAACGCCACACTTGTATCAAAACAGTTGTATTAAGACCATGTGAAATATAACACAGCCTAACGAAGGACCCGTTTTTACCATCAAAAGGAAAAAATCTTCAATATGAAAATTTAACTTTAACTTGCATTGTAAAAGTTTGGGCACAACTTAGGTTATCTTTCCCATCTCAAAATTTTCAGGACTTCAGAGGGAAGAAACGGAGTAGCAGCAACAAAAACTTGGATCAAAGCAAGCTGGAGTTATGAAACTTCACTTTTCCACTGCTGCAAACCACATTTTTCAACTTCCTTGGCTGTTCATTCCAGCAGTTGATTTAACACATTCAGTGACCTGGCTTTCCAAAGGTGCTGAGCCCAGTTTGTTTAATTTGAAGATTTTAAATCCAAGTGCTTTCAGAACAGCAGAGGCAGCAGTTCATTCAAGTATCAGCAGTTTCTTTTTTTAATGCAGTGGATCATTAACAAAGAGAGTCAACTGCCCGAAGATCCTACTCCAAACTGTGCTATGTATGTGCGAAGAAAAAGGTAGCTCGATTTTCACATGCTAGATCAGAATATTGCCATTTTAAGTCTCACTTTTTAAAAACAAGAAAACTTCAGGGTGATCTCTTGTTAGAACTATCATGCTACAGTCAAGAGTAAGATTTCCACTCTATGTTATTTAAGTTTTCACATTTTGCTCAACTCTGTGATGTATTTTCATTTACAAAGTGAAGTAAGTTTTTCAGTTATTAGTCAGCTTTACTTTCTCCTCAAATACTACCAACAACTGACATGTTCGGACTGTAAGCACCACAGCTGTATGTGATTTCTAAAAAACTCAGTAGGTTATAAATTCCTGATATATCTTATTACTCTGGACTGTTCACAGTTTTTTTAGTATGATCACTATGGATATAGAGCAATGAGAAAACATTCATTTAACCTTAATGATTTTGCAAGGTGTATGTAAGTTTGACTTTAAAGCAAGCCAATGTAAAAGAAAAGTCACTTAGTAAAACATAATAGAACTCCCAGATTAAAAATATTTTCATCTACTTTGTATTCTGTATTTTTATAGTCTTTTACCAGCAAAGCTTGCTAGCATTGTGCATTGTTATGATTATTTTCTACCTTTTCTAGAAAATGGAAGCACAGATTTCTTATGTATCTAACTATTTAATGCCCATAACAATGCCAAAACCAGAAAACAAACTGCTTCCATTCTACACCTTGGACTTCTGCTGAAAACCATCCCCCTCTTCTTAAACAGGTCAATCCAAACTGATTTCCTGCAGAGAAATGAAGCACTGTTTTCAGTTGCTTGGATTTGTTTAAGTACAATGCAACTAAAAGGTTAGTCGAAAAACTTCTCTGAAAGTATTTTGGAGAGCTCTGTAATCATATCCATTCTTTAAAGTTCACAAATGTTCTCTTCTGCTGTTCTGTCCTCCCCTATCCTACAAGTTAAATTTCTTAACCTAACTTAAAAACTTTCTGTCCCGCACCTTTGGTCTGTGCACTGGACAGTCCATTCCACTTCATTTCTCTGCTTTGTAAAAATTACTCAAACAAAAGTAAAGTTTGTGAAAAAAAAAACCAACAACAACAACCTGGAGAACACATACATGTAAAGAAACAAAAATAAATGGAACCACAAGAACTGATGAAGCCTTAGGAAAAAGGTGTAGACTTGACTTTAGTTACTACACCTTTTAACCTAAACATTTTTAAAACAGTAGGTTCCTGTAAAAATTTGTTTAGGTGTATTTCTTGGAATACATTTCTCCTTGACGTTCTTCCTGAGGCCCAAGCTCAGCATTTTCCATGTCTCCTGCAACAGGTGATGACATTAAAACTTAGAGCAGAGTAAGAAATACCTCACCCCATAAAGCAATGATAGCAATAGTCCCTGACCTCGTGCCTTGGCATGGAAAAAGCCTTTAAATTAATTTTTAAAATCCTGATTATTGGCATACTCAGTAAACCATGTTAATTCTCCTTCACAATTCAAACACTGGAGTTTCACAAGAGGCAAATCTCTCCCTGGTAGCAGAACTACTTTCCATCAAAACAGTAACATCATAAATATTCTAGTTTCATTCCTTTGGATCTTACTTTTTTTTCAATTCCACTGAAGAACTGGAACATCGTTATGTTGGCTGGAGGCTTGGACATGCCTAAAGCAATACATATGCCTTTTAGCTCTTGAAAGACTTCACTGCCACCTCCTTCCTGTGCTTTTTTAGGAGGGGCGTTCACACACAGCATTCTGGCAGCTTCCAGTTCTGAGATGAGGTATGCTGGGGTAAGAAAAATTAGATTTCAGCATCAGATATAGCCGAGTTAGATTATTTTAGAACCAGTGAGAACTCAAGTGCTTAAAACCAACAAATGTGCAAATGGACTGTTTTAGAAACAGTTAGGGCTATAATTTTGGTACGCACAGAACACTCGTATTTCTAATAATCACTGAGCCCAATGCTAGAAACACAACAAAAAGGGGAAAGGTTTAGTACAACCAATTAAAGCCTGGAAAAAATCCCTATGATTCCAACAGGTATTAATCACAGAGTTCAACAGAGCACAGCTCTTCTCCTTCAGGCTTTGCCCAGCGAAGACAGGAGACTAGGAACATAGAAATAAGCAGGATGAGGGACTGGGACATGCACTTTCAACCAGACAAGCAAGCACTCCCTGAGGCTCTAGAAAACAAAGCAAGGAAATGAGTAGAGAAAAGTGAAATGTTGGATGAATCTCCTCTACTTCCCCAGGCAAGATGCAGAGTGGAAAAATAACCCCACTTGTAAAAGTACTATTGAGAATTCAGGTTTCTGGTAATTCCAGAAAAGGCGGCAGTAACTGATGAAACAGAAGCTAGAAAGCCTGCACTGCTCTTGAGTATCAGAACTGCAAGAGCCTACCACCACATCATAACTTCTATCAAACAAACAAAAAAAAGATTAAAATCACATAATTTCTGAACAGGGTCTACACCCAAAATTTCAGCACTAGGTACAGGTTACAGTGATATAAATTTAGCACATAGACTTTGCTTGCAATTATCACAACTTTAAAGTTTCAATTGAAAAAAATGCACAGGTTTAAGAATACTTTTATCATGAATCATACTGGTAATGTAAATAATTATTTCTAAAAATAAGGATTGAAAGATAGATTCAGCACTGATAAAGACAGACTTGTGAGCAGGGATGTAAACCCACAGCTAGACGAAAGTATCTTACTCCCTATAAAATTGGGACAGATCGAAAGATTAAGAAAAGAACAAAGCATTTTAATGATCTCTAGAATGTCTTCTGCTAAAGACACAGAACACCTTATAAATTATAAAATTCTTAAAATACCTAAAGCAGTGAAGAATCCTTTGTAACTTTTTTCAATGGCACTTTATACAGATTTTTCCTATATTCAACTTTAAGTTATTTACAGCCCATTAGGACTTCCTGAAAAAGAAACTAGCAGCACAAGTTTGTTTCAAGACCTCAGAGATCACATCCAAGCTACCTTCAACCTCCTCTGACAAAGACTGAAATTTTTAAGTCTATCACTGTAAGATATAAACATTCTCCAGATAGTGGGGTTTTTTTTTGCAGACCTTTTCTGAACCAACCTGAAATTCTTGTACTTTTTATTTTTTGAATATGCCAGTACTTAATACTGTATTCTAGTGATGCTGCACATCAAGACAATCCTAACTACTTAGGTTTACTTGGCGCTTTCCTCTCCCAGCAATACTGCTGCATCTTCCAACTGACAGAAATTGTGCTGCATTTCATTAATATGTAAAATACCCTAGCATTCCATTAAAGGCGGTTATTCTGTTTTTCCTGGAAAAAACTGGTTTTATGACTCACATACAACAGGATACCTAGTAAATTAGCTTAATGTAGGTAAAGAAAGCTACACAAAAGTTTTAGGTATTATTATCATGGTACACACAACAGGAATTTGGCATCCATTTCAATTCCACATTTGACAATAAGAACAGTATTCCTGCCAGATGGAATACCAGAGTTCAGCTTCTGAACATCGCCTTATATTACCAAAATGTACATCACAAAGGACCTCTGGGATAAACTGAGTGTCACAGACAAGCCAAATTTATTGAATGGCTTGGCTTACAGAGAAAAAGCTGAAGGGCAGATTGTTTGAGCTACAAAATATTTTAAATTAAAAAATTACCTCACTTCATCAGACATTTTTGAACATACTATCAAAACAAATTCAGATTAAGTCTTACTACTTATCTTTCTCCTACTGTTGAAATACAGGAACCTACTCTAATTCATTTCTTGCATCTCAGCTGACGGCACAACTAAATTTCTGGTTTGAAAAGTTAAAAAAACAGCAGCAACCAAGGAAGCAAATAAAACACAAATTTATGTTGATTTTAAGATCAGATTAAAATTAGTATTACAATTTCTAACTCTGACACTTGTAAAAATCTTTTTTTTTAATGTAAATCAACATTACACACTTTTTCCAAATTTGAGTACTATTTCTTCTCCTCTATCATTTCCTAAGCAGGAATTAAACCAATTTAGGTATTGAATCATAGAATCATTTGGTTGGAAAAGACCTACAAGATCATCAAGTCCAACTGCACCTGTCCACTACTAAACCATGTCTCTAAACACCTCGTCTACCCATCTTTTAAGTACCTCCAGGGATAGGGACTCGACCACTTCCCTCAGTAGTTCATTCCAGTGCCTGACAAGCCTTCAGTGAAGAAATCTTTCCTAATATCCAATCTAAACCTCCCCTGGTGCAACTTGAGGCCATTTCCTCTCATCCTATCACTTGTTACCTGAGAGAAGGGACCAACACCCACCTTGCTAGAAACTCCTTTCAGGTAGTTGTAGAGGGCAATAAGGTCTCCCCTCAGCCTCCTCTTCTTCAGGCTGAACGGCCCCAGTGTCCTCAGCCACTCCTCATCAGACCTGTGCTCCAGACCCCTCATCACCTTCGTTGCTCTTCTCTGTACATGTGTCTCAATGTCCTTGTAGTGAGGGGCCCAAAACTGAACACATTATTCAAGGTGCGGCCTCACCAATGCTGAGTACAGAGGAATACAATGATACAAGCCAGGATGTCATTGGCCCTCTTTGGCCACCTGTACACACTGCTGGCTCATATTCAGCCAGCTGTCAACCAGAACCCTCAGATCCCTCTCTGCCAGACAGCTTTCCAGCCACTCATCCCCAAGCCTGAGACCTGCTGGGTAGAAAAGTAAAGGGAGGACATCACCGTTGCTACTGCTAATTTCTTTTCAATCAGCAAAAAGCAACACTGAAGCTATTTACTAAGGGAGATGATTAAAAGAACTGGGAGTTGGGATAAAACATTTTCTCTTTTTCACAATTCAATGTTGTCAGAGTGTAGGAAAATGCAAGTCTTATTGCACGTTGCAAGTCACCATGGTGGGGCCTCCAAAGTGATGATGCATCTGATGTTAGTGGTCATTTTTACAACCCTTTTAAACACAGTTCAGTGGCTAAATCCTGGCAGAAGTCTTCAAACTATTCCCTCTTCACAGTACCTTTTCAGAAGCAATAGGACAGGCTTTTTTCTAGTGAATGTGAAAAAGGTTAATACCCAGAATATTTTCCATCATATACCGGCTACAGAGTGACTGGTAACTTTGTGAGACACAAAAGTATAAAATTCTGACACTGTAAATTACATGGAAAAATAATTCATCATTTTAGGTAACTGTTTTTAGACATTGCAGTAAAAAAAAAAACCAAACCAAAACAGTATCCCATTAAGTGTAAGAAACAATGCTGATTCTCGCACAAAATAGATTTGATTTGCAAGCACCCTTTTAACTTACTAAGCAGCAAGAGACAGTTCTTTTGATTATGAAGGCGTTTTGTCACATCCCCTGATGTTAATGATGCATATGGACAGTTCATTTCAGCCAGCAACCCACTCATTTCAAGTTGAAATTCTTCTGCTTCGTTTGGACCTTAGAAGGAAAAGAATAATAATTCTTTTACAGCTAATACATACATGGCTATAATTAGAATGAATTAGCTCTTTTTAAGCAAAAAAAAATAACGCTTTGCTCCAGTTGCTATTTAACATTAAAACTCTGCTTTTAAAGGAAGCCAAATGTGTTCTTTGGGTTTCTCAAAAGACACAGCACAACCTGTGCGGAGCCATGATATTCCTCATTATTGTATAATTATGTTTCACTGACAGCTTTTCACAACTACAACAGCCAGCCACTGGCAACTTCTACAGTGAAAAGTGACATTAAATACATCACAAATTTTACAGGGTATTTGAAGTATCAACTAACTGTTCCCACTACAAATGTATTAGATAGTTCTGATAGCCATGAATAATATGGTTTATGAACTCTCGTGTTTTTACTACTTATCTCTGTAAGCTCACATTTCGTGATCTTATTTCGTACCAATATCCTTTAAAAATAATTAAGTCACAGCTTAGACTGATATTTGTATCAGAAATTAGTGAAACTCATCTGAATTTAAGCCAAGTTATGCAAAAAATAGTGATAAATGAGACATAACACTTTTTCTTCTTTTGAAAAGGGACTTCAAACCCAAATGTCTGTTATTTATAAACTCAAGTCACACAGAATGAAGGTAGGATGTGATGGTGCTACAGACAAAATGTTTCTATTCCTGTGTTTAGAGAATTTGAAATAGGTGTTGAGGTGAAAGGCAGCAATCTTTGGCCACTGAGTAGACTGAAAGTTAAGCTCATAAAGGCATTATGAGTTAAAACAATAGATATTCATAAGTACAGGTTATCATACCAATTTAACAATTTAATCTGTGGAATCTCATGACTAGTTGACCAAAAATAACATTTTTTGAAAACTAAGGTTTGCTTTCTCCACCAAAATGATAAACATTTTCAGGCTCATTCTCACACTGTTTCATAAAGAGTGAAAAATACATAGTAGGCACAGAATTAGGGTAACCAACCATGAAAAGAAAATATGGTTACTGTAGTCATGAGAATGTTTCCTTGAACAGTAGGTATTCCTTACATCAAAATTACAAACAGAAGTGTTGAAATAAAAGTATTCTCATGATCTAATTAAAAAACCCCACTAACGTTTCCTTGAATCCATCCAAAAACTTTACAAAAACTCTATGGTTGAACAATTACAAGAAAAAGCTAATTTCAGAAGAAAGACTGTTTTATCCTCGCTATTATTACAACCTCTACTGGCTGTTCATTAGGCAAGTTTGAGATGGAAAATATCCAAAATCTGACAGTGTGCAGACGATACTCCCTGGTACAACAGATTTAGCAATTGTTAGCCCAATTCTTTATGGCATGCAAGAACACATATTAAGTGCACATTTGTGCTAGAGCTATGGCTACTTACTGTTAGTTGCCTGCACATTTTCCTCTAGTTTACAGAATAGCCGTAACTCAGATACCAACCAAGCACAGAGTTTGGTGAATTCAGGGGAACTGGCTCCACGAGAGACCGCCTGAGCCAGCGCTCCGTCATCTAACAATGGACCTTTGTAACTGACAAGTAAAACAAAAACACAGTTTATTCAGGTTTGCTATCACTGATGTCCTGTGATAGATTTATTTCATGCTGTATACATATTGAGAGCTACACCCTCATCACGTCTGCAATGCTGAACATCTAAACCGGTAAGATTCCTGCACTGAACTGTGAGAAAAAGCATACTGGGACCATCTGAGTAAACCCAGCATTTCCATGCACGTTAGCTTGCTGCCAAAAAGACTGTGTCACAAAATATCATCATCAAAGGTTTCATCCTGGAGAATGTTATCACATACAGTGGCAACTTCTCTGCCTCTATTTCTTGAAGATGTTACTTACAATATACCTATCTAGGGCACCGGCAGTTTCAAAGCATCATTCTTGATCACTGCTTTACAGTATGTGGAATAATTACTGCTGAACTAGTGCATCTTTTCTATCGTTTCCTATGTATTAAAGGGTTGCCATGCAAAACAAAGCCTTTGATACAAACATTACAAAAGTGATTTGCAAAACAGTATCTTCTTTTGAAAAGTTACCTTCTTGAATGAGCACAAGAAGAATAAATAGAATTAGTTCTTTGCATAAACAAAATAAGCCAAAATCAGGCCTAGTGTAAGAAAGCATGAGTGTACAGATCAGGTCTCAGAAGACATAGTTTTCAGGACATCTGTGTACTGATACTCTGTCAGGGAGAGGAGGAAGAGTGGGGAGAAGACTGCCTTATTAACTAGGTAGAAGCACAAAGTCAGAGCTTACCAGAGTATTTAAGTAAAAATGCAATGCACAGTATTATTTTGATATACTGCACCCAAACCAGAAAGGCATCCAAGAGTGAGCATAATCAACCAAAATCCCTCTTTCAAACTTCCAGGTAAAGTCACCCACTATGTCACAGCAACCCAGTGAGCCCAGTCAACTCTTGGTAAACCTCAGAAGTAAAAAAAAAAGAATCTCTCAAAGTGCAAATTAAAATGTTATTCTCCACACTTTGTTCTTGTGCTTAACATCACATATAAAGGATTTGGTCTGCACTGTAACAGCCTGTTACATCACCCAACCAAAATGAAGCTGCCACACTCAAAAAATAACTTTTACCTCACAGAGCAGCTCCACTAGTGACACAGAGTTAATCTACTAGCAGCTGGTGGGAAGCTGTAATCTGATGTATTACAACCCTACTACATTACCACAGTAGGCCAGACAATTCCAACAGGCTAATTAGAGCAAGTTTAAGTCCTGTCCCACAGAGGTTTCAGCCCTACCCGTGTATAGGAACATCTGGGACTCAGAATAGAAACATACAGTTATAGAACAAAGTAGAAGAGAATTGACGACAAAACCTTTTGTTTTGGCAGGATCTGGATTTAAGTCACTGGTCACGTCAGAGGCCCCTTTTCTAGAATTTTTCTTCGACAAATATGACATCTTGACTGGTTATCTCTGATAATTACGACTTCAGCTACACATCTATTTGGCTAGTAATACAACTTGCAGATTCCTGACTGGAAGCAGCTTTTTCCTTCCATTCCTGCCAATGGCACATGTTCTAGAGCTACACTCCTCTTTTAAAAGGTAGCATTATGCTGCCCGGTTTGTTTGCTTTTTCAATAGTTCAACAAACTGACTTAGAAGGCACGAGGCCACTATTTGAGCACCTGGAGCACAAATCCAAAAAGAAACAACTCTTTGATGTGCAACGCTATTGAAAAAAAAAAATAATCAAGTAATATATTAGAAATGTCTTCAGTATCTGGTTAGAAAAAAATAAGTTGAACTGTGAAGGATCATGGAGCTACTGCCAAAGCTTAAAACCTCAAACACCCCTGTCTTTCCAGACACAAGGGAGCAGAATTCCTTTAGTCATATGCAGTAGTTCTCCCAGTTGTTACCGATACTGTTGAAGCCCCATGTCTTTTGCCCTCCAAATTTTCTGTTCCATCACTATTGCCAGCCTTGGTTGATAAGACTTATTTTTTAATAGGCTTTCATTGTTCACTTTATTTATTTATGTCAAAAATCAACAGCAACACTTCCTGTCTATAATTTTTTACACAGATAAGGAGCACAAATAACAAATCTTTCCAGCCAGTAGTATCCTTTTAAACATACAGCAGAAAAAAGAAGCCAATTGCTGTATGTGCATCGTGGCAGAGACCTTTTCACATTTTAGTTAGAGAAGTCCCTGCCAAAACAGAAGCCTATTTATCAACCTTTGGAATTATCATCACCAACTTAGCCTGGAAATACAATCTTTGTTGGAGCATAATAACTCTAGCCACAAAGTGATTTATGGGAATGTGGCCAATATGAGTAAATACAGCTGTTTGCATAGAACCAGCAGCAGTAAAACTGTAACTGCCTCTTGTCTGAACTCTCCACAGCTTACAGACATGCAAGCTTACAGTAGGGCACGTTCTCCTTGCTCTCCTCTTCGTATTTATGCAACTTTTACTGACTGACAAAGTAACAAGTTTAAACAACAAAAGTTTCCTGTGCTGTATCACATCAAAAAAAAAAAAAGAAAGCAAAGGAAAAAAATACCGTGTCATTTAATATTTTCTTTTTCCTGCCTAGTATTTTTCACTAAACATGAAGCCTAGAAGTTTTCCTCTCCCCTGATTTCTCTTAAAAGGTTTCTTTCTCCCTTCCCCACCCTCAGCAGGGGCCGCTCCATTGAACAGAGGGCTCACAGATGAGGCAGCATCAGGAGAATCAAGGAGCTCAGCACGGAGGTGGAGGCAAAACGCTTGCAAAGGCCGTACAGCTAAAAAAACCGCGTGTTCGGCTCGGCGCTTTTCAGCCCAACCG